GTGGCAGCCATGCTGGAACTTAACCATGTGGTTTGGTAGCAGAGAGGACGGCCCCCTTGACCATGCAGCTTAGAAAGAAGCGGAAAATCAGGATGGAGCAGTCATGGGGCTCTTGGCCATGTGGCTTGGGAAGGAGAAGCCTCTTGACCCTGTAGTGGCAGGGCGGGGTCTTGGACACTTGGTGTGAAAGAATGCAGAAGGACTCTCACTGGCCTGCCAGGAGGAAGTGCCACTCAGTTTTGGATTAAGAACGGGAGACTAGCCGAGCTTCGGACTTCTATTTTCTTATCCTGAGATATGGTACCACTGACTGGCCTGGTTTGGCAAGGGGAGGCAGGCCTATGTGTGTATGTGTGCGTGCGCAGGTGTTTTAAAGGGATTTTGGGATCTGTCATTATTCTGAACCTGTATAACTTTTGAATAAATAGTTCCTTTCCTTTTTACCAAACCCTGGCACTGAGAGCCACAGTTCTTACCCGTGGTGGGCAGAGTGAGCAGAACCCACACAGGATGTGGACAGGGTTCTGTTATGTAATGTCTTCCAGTACATTTTTTTTTCTTTTTTTTAAGTTTAGCCTGCTGTTCCTAGTTCTCAGCAAGAGGATTAGTTTGTAACAAGCTATTTAGCCATTGTTGGAATCTTACCTGGTTTTGAAAGTAAATATTCCGATATTAACTACATATAGCATGCCTTATTTGCATTACTATTACCTTATACTGATTATATATTATAGATTTGTGCAATCATAAGATCATTCATAATACAGAGGTTCAGGGATGCCAAAAATAACACTGAATAAAGTATTCAGCTATTTAAAAATCCACCAGATTGATTTTTTTTCTTTTTAAAAACACCTCTGATTTTATTGCCATTTAAAATTTATTTCTTTAAAAAACTTTTATTTTTCAATTACAGTTTATATTCAATATTATTTTGTATTAGCTTCAGGTGTACAGTATAGTTGTTGGAGAACCCTAAATTTACAAAATGATCCCCCCTTGATATTTCAAGTACCCACCTGACACCATATATAGTTATTACAATATTACTGACTATATTCTGTATGACATACTTTACAGCTCTGTGACTATTTTGTAATTACCAGTTTGTTCTTAATCTGTTTATTTTTTTCACCCAGTCCCTTAATGCTCCTTCCTTCTGGCAAATGTAAGTCTGTTCTCTGTGTCTATGGGTCTGTTTCCTGTTTGTTTGTTTTGTTCTCTAGATTCTACATATTGGTGAAATCATATGATAATTGTTTTTCTCTGTGTGACTTATTTTATTTAGCATAAGACCCTCTAGATCCATCCATGTTTACACAAATGGTAAGATTTCCTTTTTTATGGCTACATAATATTCCATTGTATCTATGTACCACAGCTTTTTTTATCCATTCATCTATTGATGGGCACATGGGTTACTTCTACAGCTTGACTCTTGTAAATAACACTGCAATGAACACAGAGGTATACATATTCTTTCAAGTCAGTGTTTTGAGTTTCTTTGGACATACACCCAGAAGTGGAATTGCTGGGTCATAAGGAAGTACCATTTTTAATTTTTTGAGGAAGCTCCACACTATTTTCCATAGTGGCTGCACCAGTCTGCTTTCCCACCAACGGTGCATGAAGGTTCTTTTCTCCACATCCTCGCCAGCACTTGCTTGTTGATTTATTGATGGTAGCCATTCTGACAGGTCTGAAGTGTTATCTCATTGTGATTTTAATTTGCATCTCTCTGATGACTAGTGACATTGACCATCTTTTGACATGTCTGTTGTCCACCTGTGTGCCCATTTTTTAACTGGTTTGTGTTTTTGGTGTTGAGTAGTTTGAGTTCTTTGTAAGTTTTGGATATTAACCCCTTATTGGATGTATCATTGGTGAATATCTTCTCTCATTCAGTAGTAGGTTTGTCTTTTCATTTTGTTGGTTTCTTTTGCTGTGCAAAACATTTTTAGTTTGATGCAGTTCTGTTTATTTATTTTTCATTTGTTTCCCTTTCCTAAGGAGATATATCAGAAAAAATACTGCTAAGAGATACTGCTAAGAAAAAGAATGTCAGAGATTTTACTGCCTGTATTTTCTTCTAGGAGTTTTATAGTTTCAAATCTTACATTTAAGTCTTTAATTAATTTTGAGTTTATTCTTCTATATAGTAAAAGAAGATGGTCTAGCCCTGGCTGGGTGGCTCAGCAGGTTGAGGCATTGTCCCATACCCCAAAAGGTTGCGGATTTGCTCCCCAGTCAGGGCACATACCTAGGTTCTTGGTTCGATACCCAAAATGAGGTTCATACAGGAGGCAACAAATCGATGTTTCTCTTTCACATCAGTGTTTCTTTCTGTCTCCCTTCCTCTCTAAAATCAAGGAATATATCCTCTGGTGAGGACAAAACAAAAAAAGGTGGTATGATTTTGTTTTAATGCACCACTTATTGAATTGACTGTCTTTACCTTTTGTATGTTCTTGCCTGCTTTGTCATATACTAATTAATTTATTTTGGGGCTCTCTATTCGGTTTCATTGATCTATGTGTCTGTTTTTATGGCAGTACCATGCTGTTTTTATTATTACAGCCTTGTTATATTGTTTGATATCAAGTAGCCAGATTGATTTTTAATTTATTAATGTATTATTTCATGTATATATATTAACCACTCATATTTCTTATTTGCACTCCTTTTCTTCTTTTTCTATTTGGTGGTTTTATTCTGATTGACCTGCCAAAGTTCTTTGTATGTAAGAGATGCTATTTGCCAGTATGTGCTACAAATGTTTATCAACAGTGAATATTTATATGACTGTTACATTTTAGAATTTATTGAGGTGTTTGTGGCCTTTTTATGGTACTGTTTAAAAATTAATGTTGCACAGATAGTTATAAAGAAAGTATACACATATGAGGTCTGTCCTGAAAGTATCCAGCTGTATACTATGAAAAAGATATTTATTGAAGAAAATACAAGATACAAGAAACATTGTACATAGGACAATGACACCTCAGTCCCCATCAAAGTTATGACCTTCTTGAGGAAATCTGGTTCCTTGGTAGTGGATTGAATCAAGTCATTAGCAACTGCAGCACGATGTTCCCTCTACTCTGGCAGCAAAAGCTGGGGAACGAATTTTGCCATGACATATTTCATGCCAATATCCTGTGTCAGAATCTCAGACACGGTCGTTTTTTGAATCCCCAGATCAGATTCTAGTTCTCGCACTGTCAGTTGCAGATCTTTGTTGAATGGAGCCTGGGCACGTTCAACATTCTCAGGTGTTCTGCTTGTTGTAGGCCTTCCATAACATGGATCACTTTCAACAGGTTCTTGAGCATCTTTAAAGCGTTTGTGCCACACTTTTATTTGCGCTGCACTCATTACATCATTCCCCAAAGCCTGGATTATCCAAATAGTTTCCGTGGAGGAATGTTCAAGCCTAAGGCAGAATTCGATGCAGATGCATTGCTCTACTTGCTCAGTCATTTTGAATGCGATGGCCACACAGTCAGTACACATGCTCACTCAATGGAATCTACTGCCCCCACTAACTAGTACAATGAAGTCATCATTGTTCATGCATAGGCATTCTAGTCCACTCTCCTTGGCTGCCAGGTTATATTGATGTTGTGCGAACTGTTCTCATTATATTAATAATGGCTGGACTTTTTCTGGACTGACCTCGTACATATATGCTCACATACACATACATCCACGTCCATGTACAAGACCTTATTAATTATATTATTCAGCTTCTTTGTATCATAATACTTGAGGGATCAGATTGATTTACCAATGACTAAGAGTAGTGATTATACCCTTTGTCATGATAAAGAGTGTTGGTCTTGGTCCTTTTTGCCTTGAATTTGATCTTGTTAAATGTTAACGTTGTGATCCACGTGTTTTGGAATTGGTTGGATTGGTGTAGGTTTCATCTTTAAATTTATCTTTGTCTCTTTAATTTTGAGTTCTTCACTTTCCCCTCCTTTTAATGTAGAAGTAAAGAATGAATATATGGTTAAATTACCGCAGAGGTATCACAGGAGGAGGAAGTGGGCTGTACCTAAGCTTTTGAAGTATAAATAGAATATAAATGGGTAGAAGTGTGTGGATCTTCTAGACAAGAGTGAAGGATTAAAAAAGAAATGAAGATAGTGTGGAATTTGAAGTATGTTTAGAATAAGAAAGAAGGCTGACTCTGGAGAGAAAGTCTGAATAAATAGGAAATAAATGTGGGTTAATGAGGGTTAATTTTGGAGGATCCTGAAAGCTAGGCAGAGAAATAACCCTTTGTTTATAAATTAGCTGTTTTTCATGCAAATAATCAGATAAGTATACATTTACAAAATAAGCCTGTGTCAAAGCTTGCTGTACAGGATTGTCTTTCATGTTTGCTTATGTTAATCTTACAGGTTCATTTTCCTTTATTCTAGGAGTTCAGAGCAGTGTTATGATTCACTTTAACTAATCTAATACACATTCTTTGAGTTTTATTTTGCATTTGATATTCTAAGCAGTTATTTTGGAGTGATGTTTGAGGTTCATAACCTCACCTCAAGGAGATATTTTAAGTCTGTCATATTGTGGATCAGTCTTGAACTACTTTCCTTCAGTTCTGTTCTTCCCTATCCTTTTCTGCAATGCCCACCCCAGAATCATAACTGTAAGTTTCCTTGCATACCTTAAGCAGATGAGATGACAATCTGCGAAATACGGGTAGGTGGCCATGTCTGCTGGCCTGTATAGCTCAGGCCCGCGCGTATGATAGTGACTTACTGAGAACTAAATGGGACAATAAACGTGTTGTCGACAATATTTTCCAGTGTCCACCATGCACAGATTGCTGTGTAATGATGCGGAAGCCAGGTCCTTCCATTGGAGGATATCACTGAGTTCAGGATGGCCAGGTCTTCAGAAATGGCACTTGTATCCCAAAAGGGGAGTTTAGAGAACTCAGTGTTTTCCTTTGGCTTTTGCATAAAGTTGTATGTTTTTTCTGTTTCTAGGGGACTCCTTCTCACAGTTCCGGTTTGCTGAGGAGAAAGAGTGGTATGGTGAAGCTTCGTGTTCAAAGCAGGTAAGATGATTTGTCTTGAATGTGAGTGGATTGGCTCTTCTCAAGGCTGAAGACTAACACCTCTAATAGTATTGTTGAGATAGAGTCTTTACATAGAAAAGAGTTTAGTAATTCATGAACGGTTTAGTCTCTGTTACCTGAACTGCTCATATAATTTTCAGGGTACTTAAATTTTATAAGTCCTTGAAGCTAGAGTTCACCTTTATACTTGCCCACCGGTGTGAATTGCTTATACAGACTAGGTTGCAAGGTAGAAAATTTATAGTCATGATTTTGAGTTGATTACTTTGCCATTTGGGCTTCCTTCTTTTCCATTTCTGTGAAAATTCCCCTTAGGATTGAAAATTAATTTTTTCCTCTACCTTGTTTTTGGTGTTGAGAAAATCACTTACTTTATATAAATAACTCTTCTTCCAGAGTTAGGAGAATAAAGCTATCAAATAAGAGCAAATATCATATATTTCTTTCAGTGGATCTATAAAGCCCAGTTATTTTATTTACTTTGTGTTCATGCCATATATTCTTCCCAAGGAGTGTTGATTATTTTTTCAAGCACGATTTCACTGATTCTTTCCATATGAGAGCTGACAGGTATTTTTTATCCCTTTAAAATGCACAGAGAATTACTGGTAGATTGTTAGACGCTCCCTGATTCCAGGGCTAGGGCGTACTCTCTGGTACAGTGATTAGACCGGCTGCCCACAGCCTCACACAGGTGGCTGAGCAGCAGACCCCAAAGCCCAAAGGTACGGCACCCTCCACCCCATTCCGGTACTAGCTCAGTACACACACTGTAGGTGGCTCTCTTTACATCTGGGCTGGTGGTGGTTAGTTGTTTGGGATGGACACTGTCTTATACAAACTGAGGAGATGGAAGTTACTTGTAAAAGGACTGCCTGTCACTTTTCAAAGAGTATGTATTATAATATACATGAAGTTGGGAATTAAAAATATTCATCTTTGCTTGAGTTTCTTTGGACATAATACCTAAGATACAGTTTAGAATTCTAGGACAAGTTGAAAACAGACAGACCGAAATCATTGACAAATATGGAGAAAACCAAACAACTCACATTTGAACTCCTTTTGAACCATGTTGGCATCAAAACACTGAGCACCCATTACTAGATGTTTTATTAGACACAGCTTATTTAAAGGTGAAGGAGACAGAGACCATGTTTGTTCATTGCCCTAAGTGCCTTACCTTAGTGGCTGACATATATTCGATGATCAGTAAATAATTATGTAATAAATGAAAAAGAATGCAACATAAAATAAGTGGTGTAATAAATAAATTAACATAATTCTGTGAAAGACAACTGTTGTGGCCTGGAAGTGATTGAGAGCAGGACCATGGGAAAGAGATCATTTGAATGGGCCTTTGTGGACGAGTATGATTCTGGTAGGTCCTGCCCAGGGGGACAACAGGAGAAGGAAGAGGCGATCTGGAAGACCAGGCTGCGCTCGGCTGGGGAGTGTGGCTGGAGTGCAGTTTTCCTGAAGGAGGAGTCTTCAAGGTCTGGGCTAATCGGTAGCAGCAGTCTGGTCCTCGTTTTCTCCCAGGGGCAGTTTAGCATGTGAGAGACAAACCTGCATGTGAATCCTTGTTCTACCACTTAGACAAACTCCCTTTCCTTCTCTTGTTTTCTCATCTGTAAAATGGAGCTAATAATAAAATATAACTTGGAGCTTTAATGGGGATTAAATTCAATAATAAATAAAAGCCTATTAGCATAGTTCCTGACATGTAGGAAACACTCAAAACTAGCTCATTTGACTACAGTTATTTGTTAGCAGAAGTTTAGTTTAGCAAAGAAATAGAAATGGCTGGATTTGACCATAGCAGTTGGGAAGGAGGAACTGAAGAGCTCAGAGTCTGGAGGCAGGGGAAGCCTTTAGGGAAGATGTTATGTTGGGTGAATGGGAAGGGACAGGGGCCCGGCAGCGTGAGCCAGTGAGGGTGGCGAAGGGTTACAGATAGATGGGTCTTCAGCAGAGGACGAGGTGGCGTGTGTCACTGACCAAATATGAGACACGGGGACAAGAAAGATTTGTAGTTGTACACCCAGACTAGGTGAGTGGTGATGCCATTACAAGCCAAAGGAGAGTAGAAAGAAGACAAGTTTGATTTTGAACATTTTGAGTTGAGGTATTGGTGGGGCATAGTAAAAACTGAATTTTTCATTTGTGCATCAAAACTGTTTTCTCTCCAACTTAAACACTCTTTTTTCTTGTATACTTGAGAGAGAAAAAGATGGACTTTATGTATATGTGTAACACACACACACAAACACATGTATATATTTCCCCTCATACCCCCTCTGCCCCCAGTGCCAACCAGTGGCACAAGACATTAAAGACAAAGGAGAAAAAGTAGGAATTTGATAGTGGGACGTGTTAGGTCCTCAAAGGACATCCTTATAGGAGAGGGATGCAGCGCCCTCACGGTGACTTGCCTTCATTTCTTTGTGGTTCACATGCAGGGTGACGGAGATGTAGCCTGGCGGTTGGCACACGTTACTATAGGGGAGTTGTCCCTTAGGTCCATGAGTGGGACTTTCACATCTTTCCTTTGGACAGTATAGGGACATGTGTGGAGGGAAAAGATGGCAGGAGAACGTCATTAGGTGAAAAAATAGATATTTTTTAAAAAACCACCTTAAAAAAAAATTTTGTTGACATAGTGACTTATTTATTCAGCAGAGTTCCTTGAGCATCTGTTCTGCCTAGGAACCTCTAGGACAACTTTAAATGATCCAATATCTGAATTGTAGGGGTGCCAGAAGGAGAATAACAAGAAATAGAAAAGCTATTTGAAAAAAATAATAAAGGAGAACTTCCCCAATCTGGCCAAGGAAATAGACTTCCAGGCAGTCCAGGAAGCACAGAGAGTCCCAAAGAAGTTGTAGCAAAGGAAACACACACCAAAGCACATCATAATTACACTACCCAAGATTAAAGATAAGGGGACAATCTTACAAGCAGCAAGAGAAAAGAAGACAGTTACCTACAAAGGCGTTCCCATCAGACTATCAGCTGATTTCTCAAAAGAAACCTTGCAGGCAAGAAGCAGCTGGAAAGAAGTATTCAAAGTTGTGAAAGGCAAGGACCCACATCCAAGATGACTCTATCCAGCAAAGCTATCATTGAGAATGGAAGGGCAGATAAAGTGCTTCCCAGAAAAGGTCAAGTTAAAGGAGTTCATCATCACCAAGCCCTTATTATATGAAATGTCAAAGGGACTTGGCTAAGAAAAAGAGGAAGATCAAAACTATGAACAGTAAAATGACAACAAACAACTATCAACAACTGAACATAAAAACAAAAACAAGCTAAACAAACAACTAGAACAGGAACAGAATCACAGAAATGAAGATCACATGGAGGGTTATCAGCAAGGAAGGGAGGGGGGAGAACACGGTAAAGGTACAGGGAATAAGCAGCATAAATAGTAGGTACAAAATAGACAGGGAAAGGTTAAGAATAGTATAGGAAATGGAGAAGCCAAAGAACTTTTATGTATGACCCATGGACATGAACTAAGGTGGGGGGAATGCTAGCGGGGAGGGGCAGGGCGGAGAAGAGTAAAGGAGAGAAAAAAAAATCGGATAACCATAATAGCATAATCAATAAAATACACTTAAAAAAAAACAAAAACAAAAACAAAGTGGCACTTGATGGCAGGCTCTGGGCTCTGGGACTCTTGCAAGGAGACAAGGAGCAATCACTGTGGTGGCTGCAAGTGTTTTGACAGCAGCATGGAGAAGGTGCAATGTCAGCCTGGCCTTGGATGATGGTGGGAATTAGAAACGTACGGGGAGAGACATTCTAGTAGCAAACACAGCCAAATGTCCGTCATTCAGAACGTGGCTCACAAGCACAGCCTTGTCTGTCCCCATATCTCTGTGTGGTCAGTCTCATGTACTTTTCATTGTTTATGATGTACCTTGTAGTCATCTTGCACAGGATGTAAAAGAGGACAGAGGAAGTTTGGATACTTTTAGCCATACCCCAGCATGTCTCAGCAGTTCTCTGGAGATCTAAAAGAGCAACAGGTCGTAGGGTGAAAGTTCTAGCTCTTTTAGAGGCTGAATGAAAGGAGTGTATATGTGTGGCTTTGCAGACAGCTTGGCTGTGGGAGGGGTGAGCTTTCCAGTTGGTAATTTGGTGACTTACCCATGTGTTAAGCACTCAAGATGACACCTGCTAGCAGGTTGAGAGGGTTTCTCTGAACTTGGAAACAAAGACTTTGCCGGGCTGGTCTTGATCACAGCACTTAAGGTGCTGCGTGCAGGCCTGAGGAAGGGCCTGCCCACCGACTGAATTTCTCACTTTCTTATCAGGGCGTTGTTACTTTCCATCTGTTCCCTAAATACTTCTTTTTTTTCTTTTTCTTTTTTTAAAGATGTAAATGTAAGTTCCTTCTTTCCAGGACAAGGGGCCACAATTGGTACTGCCAATGTTCCTTACCTGAGAGGTAGCCATCTCTGAAAAATTTTAGAAGGGCAGCAGCAAAGCCACAGTGTTTCTTTCGCTCCCCGTGTTGCGGCTGCTGGGGGTTGGGTGAGCATGGGTCTGGGTTCGGTTGCGGGCTCTCGTTGAGCGCACCGGGAATGACTGACCCTCCGTCTCCCGTCATAAACGCACCTCCCCGAGGCGTTCCTGCAGTGGACTCGCGATTAGACTAAATGAGCCCTGGATTTTCTTCTACCTTGAAGTCAGTCAGTGATGATAGATTAAGACATGGTTCCAGCTGGGCCTGTGACTGTCCTTGGTAGGTGAGGTGGTCAGTGATGTTTGCCCCTAACGTGAGGTCATTGTAACCACCTTTTAGTTTTTTCCTTCTCTTGGGTGGCCAAGGTACCGAGAAGTAGCTGTTAAACTATTATTAAGCCATGTGATAATCCGGAATACTTTTTCAAATGCTGTCAGTTTGGGAGGTCATTCTACGGAGATGACTTTACATCTATGAGTGGGAAGGGAGTCAAAGGGGGATTTTAGTGTTGGCCTTATGCAGCGGGCTGCCTGCTAGAGGTAGGTTTCCACCCTCTGCTTTCTTGTTAGCAGGTGCCTCGCGGGCTCCTGGGGCTGTGCCTCTCCGGCCCCTCTCACCGCCCGGACGGCTCTCTCCTCCCATCCTAGACGTGAGCCATCATATTTCAGGGAGGTGTCTACTTGGATTTCATTGAAGCTTTTTTTCCCCTTCACTTTGCCAGTGTCCAGTGTCCAGGTTACCATTCATTCTGCACGGCGGGGCGATCACCGCCCTGCTGCTCTGACAGTATGAGCTGCGGCTCAAGAAGGTTGTGGTTGGTTTTTTTGCCCATCTCAATGTGGAGGTGATAGACTTAAGCATATCAAGTGTGATTTACGATCTTAGTCCCAGCTGAATCTAAATCCAGGGAAGATTTATTTATAGTTACTTTCATCTTCTGCTCTTTTATTTTGAAAAGGGCACATGTAACCACGACCAGAAATATATATCATGTGTCTATGTGTGATATATCAATCTTATTTATTTATAGAATTCAGCATTTTACGTGGACTGTGAGTCATTGGTTCAAGCCCTTCAAGAACTGCCTCTCTCACTCCGACTCAACGTCGCTGCTGAACTGGTCCAGGTAAAAACCCTGAGGGCGTCTTCAAGTTAGTGTGGATGGGGCAGGAGAAGAAAAAGAGCGAGATGGCTCAGACTCAGTTTTTCCTTTCATAAAGCTAAGGGTTTTGTATCGTGTAGCATTTTGTAAAGTTTTAAGCTAGAATGAATTAATTTTTTAAAAGTTTTTTAAAATATATAACAAAGAGGGGAAGGATTGAGAGTGGGAGGTGGGTGGGTGTGGTAGAGGAAAGTGGTGGCGGGAAAATGAAGACAAATGTAGTTGAACAATAAAAAAAAAATGCAAATAGGTAGTAACAGAATAGCCATGGGCATGTACAGTACAGTATAGGAAACAGAGTAGCCGAAGAACTTACATGCATGACCCATGGACATGAACAATGGCGGGGGAATTGCTTGAAGGAGTAGGGGGTGCTGGGTGGAGGGGGGCGAAGGGGGAAATATTGGGACAACTAAAATAGCATAATCAGTAAAATGTAATTAAAAAAATAACTGGAACATTTTAAAGAATCGAATGTAATGGAGTTGAATGAAATGTAAAGGTATAAAGTCTGGTTGGTATTTTTCTCAAAATATTTATGCTGGGTACTAAGAATACAGTGTTTGAATAGACAGATGTGGTTCCTGCCCTTGTGGAGCTTAATCTATTGGGAAAGATGGGTATTAATAAATTATCACATAAATGTACAAAATGTGATAACTGCTTTGAGGGAGAAGCACATGGTCCCATGAGATTACATAATAGTGAACCTGATCTACTCTGGTGTGATTAGGGATGGATTTTTGGAACAGGTGACAGACAAGCTGAGATCCAAAGTGGAAGAACAGTTGACTTGGAATTTAGAGAAGAGTGACCCAATAGATTGGCATTAACAGCACTGCTAACACTACCAATAACAAGAACATGCTGGCCCTAGATGAGGGGTGGGCTGTGGGGTGCGTGTGGGTGTGTGTTTATTGGTGAAACTGCACTCACAAGAGGAGAGGAGACGAGGGGAAGCAAATTAGGAGGCTAGCGCCTGGGTCCACGTGCGTAATACTGCAGCTAGGACAGGGGTGCTGATGGTAGAGATGGTACAGAACTGGACTTTTCTAAGAGGTACTTCAAAAGATGAATTAAGACAATTTGGTGAACGACTAAGTGGAGAGAGAGCAGGCAAAGAATTTTTCTAGGTTTCCCAGCTGTGCAACTCAGTGGTCGGTGGTACTGGGAAGGGTGAGAGGTTGGATATTACGGGTCTGTGCCTCTGAGATATCAAAGTGAAAATATTAGTCAAATAGATGTAGAAATTTATAGTTCAGAATTAAGGGCCAGAAATAGAAATTTGGGAGATATCCACATAAGATGGCAATTGGGAGGAAAAGGCCCAAGGACTGTACTATAAGGAATTTCAAAATTGAATTGTGGCTTGATTAAGTGTTTTTAAGTGAAACCCTGGGCAGTACTAATTTTCAATAGAATCCCAGCAGCGTAAGTGATCAGCTTTGTTCTGCAATTGAATGTGATGCTGTTTCTGTTGCACTTACTAGTCTCTAATTCAGGGCAGCAAGTAGAATTCAGGGCAGAGGACAGTTAGGGGCATGGCAGGAAAGTACAGAGGATGGCATTTGGCTCTGACGAGGAATCACCCCGAGGCTTCTTTAGGAATGTTGGGGGGCCTCGGGTTGTCCCAGTGACCGGGAGAGTGCTTCTTTTCCTGCTGGGTGTCCAGGCGTTCAAGATTCTCACCTGTTCAGTTTGGTCCCACACAGTGAGGAATGGTGAACAGAACGCATCAAGAAACCACTGAGATGAAGGTGAGGGGGGGCCCAGGACTCAGGAGAGAAACAGGAAGTGTTGTAAGAACTTGGAAGTGAAGGGCACGTTGGCAGCAGGCCTTACAGTAGAAGTATACAGCAACTGCAGTAACTTTGAAAACCTGGCTAAATTGTTTTAAAGTCCTTCTCCTGCCCTCTGTGCCACGATGCATGGCAGTTAATCTCAACTGTGTTTGCACATTAGGACCCCTGCCATGCCGGGGTTAGGGAAACAAACCAAACCAATGCCAGACACCTGGAGACTAAATGATTCTAGGATTAGAGCAGAGGACCACATCCCAGCGTCGCCCGCACACTGACACCGACGGATGAACATTTCAGTTTGCGTGTATGTTCATACGGTCTTAAAAGCCCTAAAGAGCTAGTAGCAAATTGGATCTGCTCAGATGCTTAACTGTACAAACAGGGGCCAATGCAACCCATGGTAGCTGAACTTCCTTGTGAACCTCTCCGCTCTGACGCCGAGCTCACCCAGGCCTCCCTCCCTCCCGAGCAGCGGCTCCTTCCAGAGTCTGAGCTCTGCATGACTGTCACTTGGGGAGTCTTTACCTTTCACTAAATTACAACATGGGTACAGAGAAGGGCACGCATAGGCAGTATTTATAACCATGGGCTCCAGAAGCTCTCCCTCCCCCACCATGACGACTCACTATTTCCCTAAAACCATTATCCTGACTATTAATACTAAAGATCGGTTTTGCCAGTTTTTGGCTTTTTACAAATGCAATCAAATAGTATATTTTCTTTCATGTCTGGCATTTTTGACTCAATACTGAGAATCAGTCTTCTTTGTGAATTTGTCCCTTTACCTTTAATTAGGTCTTTTGTACAGTTAACATATCTGATTTGCTAGTTGCTTCTCAGTGCCTGTTACAGAGGTTTAAACTCATCACAGACTGAAGTATACATTCAAGTAGACCTATGGTACTGTCATTTCTCAGGCTTGATAGACGATATGGCCCTTTTGATTGCAACTCTCAGCACGGAGCTGAGGTGGGTAGAGCAGGAAGGGCAGCCCTATTATGTTTCAGTGAGGCGTCGTACCCATATTTACCCCAAGTCAGTCAGGAAGGCTGCTGCCGCAGGCCCGCCGGGGACCCTTGGTAAACCTCCTGTCTGAATTATTCCCTACTGCACAGAGTTTGATGTCTTCTTTAGCGTTTGTTCCTGTGTAAGCAGATGTGGCAGGATTCACGTTTTCAACTTCTCTTTCAGACTGCCCTTCCTTTAGAGCTTCCTCAGGTGAAACCAAAGAGAAAGGATGAAGGCAAGAGGCTAGGCGTGCAGCTGAAAGGGCCGCTGGGACCTGGAGGAAAGGGGTCTGTGCCCGAGCTGAAATCAGCGGCTGCTGGCTGCCCCACGCCCTGGGGTAAAGACAGCCCAAGGCCAGGCCCTTCAGAGGGTTCCCAGAAACCCGCCTCCCCACTGCCGCCTGCAGCAGACCATTTGGAAGAAGAGTTAGATCTGCTGCTTAACTTAGATGCGCCTGTAAAAGCAGAAGATAACATCTTACCAGACCACATGCCCCAGGACCTGGAATCTGAGAAAGATGGGGAGGTGGTGGCCCAGGAAGAAAAAGGTATGGTTTTCATTTTATCCCCTATCCATCGTCTTGATTTTGGTGTTTTTGTGAGGACAGCCTCACCTGAGTCATATCCCTATACATCTTGGTTGGTGTCTGACATCGATCTGGCATTGTCTCCTGACATTTATTTCTGTGCTCACATCTCCGTTTCCCCTGCGCTGACCTTCCTCACACTTGATATACCAACTTCCAAGAGCTGCTCCCTGCCTGACTGCAATATTAAACCTGGGCTGTGAACTGAACGTGGGCTAGAAAAAGACATTAGGGTACTCACAGCCCTCATCTGTGCAGCGGCAGACCTTTTAATTGACTGTCTGACCTGGCCAGTCAACCAACATTTCCTACATCTTGCTTGCTATTTCAATCTTATTTTTTTACAAAAAAGAACGCTCCCTCATTTGTGCACGTTCTGTGAGACGGTGGCCCGTCTGATGTGGAGAGGATGAGGGCAACTGCCCCAGCCGTGTGCTGCCTCTGAGAGCCTTTAATGACCTTTCAGGATTGCTACGATAGTAAAAAGAAAACCGCGCTGTTGGTCTTTTTAAAAAGCTAGTGAGCTGTGAAATTCAACTTAAGAATAAATAAAGGAGCCTATTTCTACCTTATTTATTCATTTAGCTATTATTGTATCTTCTTAGGGAACAGGAATAATAATAGCATGTTTCCCCTTGCTGTAAGTAAAGCAATAATTATGGCTGAGTTATGTCACAGAACAATCCCCAGGGGAGCCTTAACCCTCAATCTTAGGACTAATGTGAAGTAGTTCATACTGCTCTTATTTCCCCAGTTCTTGCAAGACCATCATCTGTGACGGAAGAAAAGAATGTGGAATCTGTACAACCAAGCACATCAAAAAATGTTACTGAGGAAGAGCTTGAAGACTGGTTGGACAGCATGATTTCCTAACAAAAGGAAAAAAAGAGAAAGCAAATGAAAAAAGTGCCTGAAGCCAACTTTGGTTGCCTTGTCAGGACGGGCCCAGGCTGCCCTTGAGCAGCGGGTTTACACGCATGCCCACGCCGGCGCACTTCGTCAGGCTCACCGCACTAAACACCTACCTCTGTGTTTGACAACATCCAAATAATACATTTAAGAGGCTCATTGCATTTTTCTCTGGCTTAGTAGTGTAAGATACTCATTAAGGGCAGGAGATGTTATAGCGCTTGTTTACAGCCTTCTTCTGCTCAATATTTGTATAATAACATAGCAAGATCTGCTGCTGAAGGGAATAGAGCAAGCAACAAGGCATGCATTTGGCCAAAATAAACAAATGCTGGTCTCTGGAGTTTTCTTCTTTTTTTGTATGGGGTTTTAGCCTCTCTGTCTCATGTCCCTTCCTCTAGCAGTCATGGTGTGGTTGTAGAATCATCCAGAAGTGGTGCATTAGAAGAGGCCAAACCACAGATTGGCATGTATTACTTTATTGCAGTGGGCACTTCATTTTGTTTAAAGAGATTCACCTAAACATAGCAGCTCCACTACTTTACAAGGGACCATAAAGCATTACGCGATTTGGCGTAAGATTGAGATTTCTTTTTTCTGAGTTTTCAGTACAGTACTTTTCTTCTAATAACAGCATTTGACAAGCTGTTACTGAAAAATATATGAATAACCTTCAAGTGCAGTTTCTTAAAGTAAGACCGAAGATCAACACAACTAATGGAACTGTCCATCTGGAACATAAACATAAAAAACTTGCATAGCTATATATCTAAAGAGATTTTAAGGCACTTAATCGATATTTCAGTGTCGACAAAGTGTTGTGGTTGTTTTTCCTAGTTCTTTAACTGCTTAAAGCTTTTCAAGCTGATTCTGGGTACATTCACTAGCAAGTACCATGGGAAAAATTAGACTGCAGTTAAGATGATTTTTTGTAGTTCAGATCATGAGTCACTAGTGGGTCCTGTCACGTGACATTCAAGTGTTTTAAATTTCATGTATTATGCATTGAAGACCTCATACTTCTAGTCCTTTTCTTGATGATGCCATCCCGACAAACACGTTACATTAGACTTGAAAAACTTGAGGGCAATCAACTAGAGAGTCCTTGATTTGACATTTTGACAGGTTCTCTCCCACAGAGCATGTCCATTTGGCACAGAGAGCCAAATCAATTCCAAAGATCACACAGATTTTTTTTTTTTTTTGTGGCTTCTTTCTGGGTTTGTTTTTACACAGATTTTTAACAAACACTTTCTTGTTGTAAGGGAGGCATTTGGAAAATGTCACCTTTCAAAAATGTTGCAGAAGTGTAAAAGAAGGATTTTAATTTCACTTTAACTTGACAGTCTAGAACGTGGAGTTTCTTTCGTTCAAATTTATCCAAGTTGATCTTCATATTGTTTCCGAAAGCAGTCACCAGCTGGGAAGAAATCCCAACACCTTTCTTGGTACATCTTCCAGACATAAGATTCCTGAAATAATGGGGGGAAAATAAACCACAATAAGCTCAAACTCTGGTTTTGCTCTGCGTGTCTCCCTTTAGGAATACTGATGGGAATTTATAAGAGTCTCAACTGGCATACTCTTTCTTGTTCTATACCCAGCCCACCTGGGGAGCAATAGGCTGATTCCATGTCATTTGTAATTGGTAGAAAAATAATACAAGGTGAGGGAACATTGAGGATTGGCTTCGGTGCCTCGACAGCTACACCCAGATCTGGAAACCAATTACGTCCCTCTCTTAAAAGTGTGAGCTGTGAAGAATTCCTGCAAAGCCAATGTTTGAATATTTGATAACCTGCCTCCTCCTCCTGTGTTCTCTGTCTTTACATTTCTTTTTCATCCTTAGTCACAGAATCCCTTTGACACATGCCTTCATTCATACTCTCACACCCTCTCCCCCTCCCTCTCGTCACCCACGCATTAGGTTATCTTATGTTTTCTCTCGCAGCATTTTACTCTGATTCTCCTGCTCTTTGTATTGCTACCCGCTCAGCTTCTCATTGTCTTTCTTCTTTCTAATGCTCCCCCAACCTCCAGCTACTCTGCAGCAGTAACCTCAACGGTTTGGAAAATGTCAGTGTTTGTTGGGAATAAAATAACCAGGAGGTCTTTTGGAATTGACTGGAGTGGCCTTAGAATTTTGGCTTCTTACATCACAGAGGGACGGTGGAATAGGGCAGAGAGCAGTGGGGAAAGCGCGGAACAGGCTGCTGGGACCATCCGCCTCTTTCCTGCAGCCTGTGCTCAACTGAGTCTCAACCAGACTTCGGAAAAGGAGCCTCTAAGATGGAGGGATGAATCTTAATTAGAAACGGTGGTTTTCCTCACCTGACCCGTGTGCTCTGTTTCATCTTTGTTAATCAGATACATCAGGAAGAACCTGGCGAGCGGGGAAAAGGCAAAATAAATGAGAAAAAGACAATATTAGGTACTTTAGTTAGGAAACCTCCTTTCATTTGCTCAAATGAACCAGAGAGGGGGCTCAAATACGTTTTTAGAATCATGCTGTCTATTAGGCCTTTCCGAATTGGAGAACTGTGGCAAAATGACATAAACCATTGTTTTCTAATAATAATATAAGGTTAATCTCAAAATTAGCCTTTCATGAAGAGAGATCCCTTTTTACTGTCGCCAAACCTTGAGCTAAGATTGCTTGTGAGGAAGCATTTTGGCTACCATTTTGTTAAAATATATCCTAATCTAAACAATAAATAGCAACCCACACGCTGTAAATTTTAGGAGGCCAATTTATCACCTTATAAGAATGTAGAATTGAAATTATATGTTTGTCTAGAGGATACGGAATTTTTGGAAAGTATTGAAGTTGCTCTGATTCTCCCAGAAACACAGTTTTGTTTTTATTATAGACAATTGAGAAAGGCCAGTGTGGTTTATGTGCTCTGTGATGTGTCTAAGGTTTGAGTCTGTCTGGAATGCACAAGTGTCCCGGGAGGCTGAGCTCTCAGCTCACATTACAGGACCTCAGCGGCAGCTGCTAAAGGAACCAATCTCGTGCCCTTTAGGAAAAAGACTGTGAGGCTGTTGGTAAGAAAAAGTAGAAATAATACTCTCCTTAGGGTCGAGAGAGCCTGAGCCCCCAAATTTGAGTTCTCTCAAGAGGGGTATCCTTCCTTCGGTTTATAGCTTCAGATTGTGGCCCACATTACAGGCTATACATTAGTTTCTTTCGTCCCTTTTCTTTTATCGGACTAAGAAACAAGGCATTGCCAATATCTTACCTTGTTTGAGAATCAGGCATGTAGGACATTATTCCTTTCCTAGTGCATTTATTTAAGAAAGCACCATTGCAGGGCAGGGGGGGCAGGTTCCAAACCTGAATAAGATGGGTTCTTTCCCCCAAGCTTGTTGTAGAAGGGCCCAGATATAGCAAATAGACTATTACAACACAGAGGGCTAGGGGAAGACATAGAATGGGACCCACACCCCGGCAACATAATACCCTTTCGCTCCTCTCTAGTCACTGGCCCTGACATAAAACGCGGCGGTGTGCTCACCTGCTACCGAAGGACGCCCACCCCAGCACCTCCGTTAAGAGGCACACCCTCTTCACGAGCACGCACAGTGTTGACTGCTCAAACTGGCGGGAGGGCATGCTGAAGTTATTTATTAAAAACTTGCGTTTTTGTCTTTAGGCACTACATTTCTGCTACTTCTTTTTGACACCACCACCTACCCCAGACATTACACCTGTTCCATCGTAAATAAAGATCAGGCTTTTCTAAATACAATGTAGACTCAGAGGGGAAGGGCTAGTCCAGGGAGCAGAGCTGAGCAGTTCTTTTTTTCTTGCAAATGATCACTTGCAGGGCTGTCCAACCTTTTGGTGTCTCTGGGCCACAATGAGAAGAAGAGTTGTCTTGGGCCGCACATTGAATACACAAACACTAATGAAAACAAACCAAAAAATCTCAATGTTTTCAGTAAATTTACGATTTTGTAAATTTCGGGCCACATTCATAGCCATCCTGGGCCACATGAGGGCTGCGGGTTGGACACCCCTGGATACAATCTGAATTTCAGGTAATCTATATTCTCTATACATTCTGTAAGTTATAAGTTTCACAGGCCTTCCATGACACATAATAGGCTCTGAATAACTTGCTCTTGAGTGAATGTTTTCCCTTAGAAAAAGTGAAAAATTTATTATTTGCCTGCTGGGTGCCAGGCCTTAGGTGCTGGGATAGAGCAGTGGGAACACATCCCCCCAAGTCCCCCGCCCTCGCGGAGCCTGTGGATTCTAGGAGAGGACGGACATGGTGAGGGCTGAATGTCATGGAATCCAGCAACAGGCAGTCACTGGCCACCGTGACAAGGGCAAAGGCGCAGTGGTGGGGAGGGAGCCCTGACTGGGGTGGGCGCGCCAGGGCGACTGGAACAGAGAAACTGAAGACAGTGAGCACGGAGACTTCTAAGTGTTGCTGGAAGGAGAGAAAGAAGCAGGGCAGTAGCTGTAAGTTAAAGTGGGGCCACAGACTTTTGTCTTTGTTTAGGATTTAAAAACATTGTATCACGATAGGGAAATTCCAAGAAAGAAAGAAAAATCGCGAGGGTTATGTGACCTTCAGAGGGGATGGCTTCTAATTCCAGGTTGAGCGACTGACCTTTGCTCCGAGGAGGAACTGTCTGTCCACAGCCCGTCTGAACACACGGGAGGGGAACAGTGTATGGACAAAGATAAAGACTCATGGGGACTTCTGGAAAATTCTTTCCCAATCACCTCTATTTTTCATTGAAATAGGAGGAAATGGCATCATCGGCAGAGACTAAACTAAATGACATAGCTGTTGCCTTTTCTGCTCCTTCCCCCGCCCCGTCACCTCTATCGACCAAGAGTACTCACAAGTAGTTGGCTAAGTTGTGCTCTTGTAAAGTATGTGTTTCAAAACCATGAGGGGTTGTGTCAAAGTAGTCATTGCCGATCCCACAGATGAAACATTTAGTCTGGAAAAATAACAGGAAGCGAAGGCATTAGTAAGCGTGATGTTACAGGCAGGTGGAAAAGAGGTGATGATTTCTGGTTGAATTGAGAGACACTGAAAAATATTTCTCTCTCAAATGCTTCAGGCTCTGAGTCACCTACTCCATAGCGCCACGTAGGACCTGGCTCCTCGCTAGCTGAGGATACTCGCTCCTGCCCAAGCATGGGACACGGTGTGGGCAGCAGCCCGGGAGGGGCATGGAATAGTGCGGAACACGGGGAGCACGCAATGCCCAGAGCTGTTAGACAGGCACCGGGAAGGGGACAGGAACGGAAAACAACTTTTACTCCAAGTTTCACCTAGGGCTTGCCCCAAGTAATAACGGAATCTATTGTTTATAAATTT